AAAAAAACTGAAAAAAGTTTTTGCCGAAAATAGTTTCTCAATTTGTTTGATATGCAGTTATCTCCCCTAGTTCAACAGGGGAGGTAACTGCATTTGAAACCCGTATTAAGAGTATGAAATGATCAGAAAAGCTGTCAGATCGAGTAATGCGAATGCCGAAAGATATTGTGATGCCTACGTTTTAGGTATCACCAAAATACATGCTCTTTTCTGAAATGAAAGAAAAAACAAACAAACAAAAAAACCCAAAACAAAACAAAACAAAAAAAAACTGTAGCCCCCAGGTTTTTTTTTATTTTTTATTTTTATTTTTAAATTTACCAGAAATCAAGGAATTATTTTTAACTTAAAATAAATCATGAATCTTGAAGAGGTCATTAATTGTCTTAAAAGTAAATGACAAAATATTTTCGGTAATTTTCACCCCACTTTTTATAAATTGTGAACTCGTTTAAATTTGGAAAGGATGCGACATTTATTTTTAGAGTTATCTAAAAAAATAAAAAGGCATTTTTAAAACATTGGCAAGTTTTTATATTACTCATCGACACATCGAGTAGTCATTGTATACAAAAGATGTAAACATCAAATTTAACATTCTTGTAAATATCCAGTATTTATCCTCGAGATTTGTTTCGAAGTCTATTTAATTATCTGGATTTTCTTAAAGCAATGTTTACCTTTTTACTTAAAACAATAAAAATAACGTTTTATTTAATCACGGTAACCTGTAAGTCAAAGGACAATATAGAAATAATGTAATTCTACCCTTGTCCGAAAAAGTGCGTGGCAAAGTAAAAATAAAACCGAAAAAAGTATGGAAGAATATGAAAAATGTAATGTGCGTTAAGTTATGGTGAATAGCAAAAAACCCCCCAAAAAAATTTTTGCCCCAAAAAAAAAAAAAAAAAAAAAACACCAAAGCAATATGTCAGAATTTAATTTGAGAACCACTAGTACAATATTTTACAAGTTCACGTTCTAGCTTCTTTTCTGGCCTTTGTCCCGACTTTCACCTCTGCCTCCAAAACCGGCTCCCAAAGCCTTGATCCTTATTAGAGATAAGAATATATTTTCTGACGAACGAGAGAGCTGGAAAATATATATAAAAAAAGGAATTACCATCTCTGCCTTGACCATGGTGCTATAAAACTGGGAGTAACGCTCACAACTTGTCGGACTTTTGATTCCAAAACCAGCTCCTAAACCTTTGATTATCATCAGAGATAAGAATATATTTTCTGACGAATGTGAGGGCCGGGAAAATGTAAACCCAATTTTGGAGGGAAAAATTCGCGTTATGCCTTCTAATCTCGATAAATACTGAGAACATGCGTCTTTTTGAGAGAGAGTATACTCCCACCAACAGATCATCCTGTAGGAGTTTGTCTCTTTCTTCTGCCACCCTTTTTTTTAGTCTTGACCAAAATTAATTCAATAAAACTCAAAGAATATTTTTTGCTGAAATTAGGTACTTGTACAATTTAATAAAACATATTATTTTCTTTCAGATTTGTCAGAAAAATAATCTACATTAAATGTTTATTTAAAAATAAAAAATAATTGTAATTTTTCAATGCGATTTATAAATTTATCCACTTGCTTTTATTAAATAAAGAAGTGTTTGGAGAATCGAAAAATGTAGTTTAATGCCATTTTTTAACCTTCTTTTTCTTTTGCGTGCTGTGTCACTTCAGGACGTAGGCGATCATGGCCCTCCACATCCTCCTGTCCCTTGTAGCTCTTAATAAGTTCATGTCTTTTTGTTATTTCTTCCAGACCCTGTTCTGCCATCCATTTTCTCTAAACTATTAAGTGTGTCACGCGTTGCTTTCCTCTCTCTCTTTCCTTCTATCCGTCCTGTGAGTATCAAATTTTCCAAGTCCTACATCCTCATTATGTGTCCCCAACATTTCGTCTACCTCTTCCTGATGTTAATTATAAGTTTCCTCTTTATTTCCATTCTCACCAAAAACTCGTCGTTGCTCACATAGTATCCTCAGCATCCTTCTGTAGAACAACATTTCTATTGTTTCGAGTCTTTTTTTAATCTTTGAGGAGATTAGCCAGTATTCGCTGCCATACAGGTTGACAGATATCACGTAACAGTTCAGTACTCTTTTCCTGTTTCTCATTTCTCTGCTTTTGAAATGCATATTTGTCTATCCCAATACGTCTCGGATTTCCGTGTCACACTTTCCGTTCTCTGTTAGAACACTTCCCAGATATTTAAATTTTTGTACCTGCCTGATTTTAATATTCCTGACCTGTAAATCGCATTTTGGGCTTTTCTTTTTGCTGATGACCCTGCATTCTGTCTTCTTGTGGTTTATGCTTAGTCCCTTCTTCTCGCTCTCTTTCGCTATCTTCTGTAGGAATCTTCGTAGTTTCCTTTCCGTGTTTGCAATCTCTATAGTGATACTGGGCCTTATCTAAACTTCTGGCGGGCTGTGTTCAAAATCTTGGAGTCAGGAAATCTAGATGGCAGCTGACGTAGATTTCAGAGGCACTCAATGCGGGACCTCAGCCCAAAGTCTCAGAGCCCCTCAAAAGTCATCTACTTATATGTGTAACATCGTATCTTCACCCCACTGGAGCCACGCCCTCCACAAGACCGGCCGTTAGTCCGGTATGGTCCAGTATTACAAGTCTCCGGCTCCCAATGTCAATTCGAAGTCATCCTCCAGCCACGTTGTGATTGTTTTGATCCTGGAGAGTGGTCATCAAATCCTAGAATTCCGGAAACTCTCTGTTGGTCCACCTGCGAGTTCGTCGGCTGAGAATCGGGTTAACAGAAAAATAAATATAACCAAGTCGATTCGATTTTGAAAAGGACAAATGTTTATATATATATATATATATATATATATATATATATATATATATATATATAAAAAACAACACAAAAAATATAATTCTTGTTGCACAAGGTTGAATGTTTCTTGTATGTGAACAGTAACCAAACAAACACACATACTTCCGGTAAAGGAGAGATGTGGCCTTCGTTTTAACCCTTTTTGGTCTGTTTTTAGCGCAACTACTACAACCTTCGATATTCCCGTTCTCACTTTTAGCAATAATAGTAATAGTAGTATTAGTAGTAGCAAGAGTAGCGGTACTTAGATGTTAGCTGTGGTATTTCGCTTCTTCGCCCTCAGCTTCAGTAACACACAGCGGGCGCTTCCTTTTCAACCTGTGACGTCTCTCCACTCAGTTCTACTGCATTCGAAGACAGAAGAACCCAAAAATTATCTCTCCACCGGTTAGCCCGTCTCTCTATTAAGAGTGTCCCAAACTGGTGACGTATCTGTTTTTCTAGTGCGAACGTACTGACATACTATCAAAGTACAACTTCCCTCCTCCGAGAATAAACAATTTACTTTTTCATCGATTGGTTTCCAAAGTGCACAAGACGCTATTGTTTATCACCTCGCTATTAATTATTTCCCGCTCTTTGAGATTCTTGTTTTAAAAATAAATTCTAGATGAAAATGATTAAACTTCGATTCTTATAGTGTCAAAATCAGTTTCTTTTTTTTTTAAGTCCCAAATTATTATTGTTCCAGTAATTTTCTATTCGTAATCTGATATCCTTTGTACACTTACAAAAAGATTGTATTTCGTGTTCTAAATTAACTTTCTGTAAGATTTATATTTCAAAGTTTTTACTGCATATTAATTTAATATCTTGGTTATTCGAAAACAGCTCTCTTTTACTTGGTGCTTTCTGTTTTACAGCATATCCTCTTTTATTATCATTATTATTGTTTCGGGTGATATCGCCCTGCCACTTATGCACTTCGGCTCAAAATTGGCGTGGGTCAAAGGGTTCTGGGGATTCAGTGATTCCACAATTTTCATTAATTCCAATAATGGTTTTCTTTGTTCCCTATTTCTGCTTTCTTGATCAACATTTCAAATTTGAAGAATTATCCACCTTCCTTGGGAGTAGCCACGGGGATAACTCCAACCTGCATCACTTCACATCACGCACCGCTACTCCACACAGGCGGGGTTAAATTTTGCCCCTTCTTCCTTCTTTCTCGGTACTATAACTACGTACAATTCTCAGGGCTAGTATAACTATCTTTGTGAGAAATCTATCCATTTTAGATGTTGCTGCTGTTGGATGTCTTCAAGTGATGTAGCTTTTATTATTTGGTAAAGGCCTTTTGTGATTCTGTAGGGCCAGTATATAGGATCTGATGAAGGGTTATCCTTTTTCGATGTTGTTGCTGTTGGAAGTCTTCAAGTGATGTAGTTTTTGTTATTTGGTAAAGGCATTTTTTTGTGATTCTGTAGCGCCAGTATATAAGATCTGATGAAGGGTTTTTGTTGATCAAAGTAACTTTTGACTTTGCAGTGTTGTACAGAACTGAAGATAAAAAACAAAATATTAACCTCTGACAACGAGGCATGAAACTTAAACAGCATAGTCAGAAGAAAATTGGTCCTGACCTGGCATCTCGACTTCAGTCATTTTCCGCGGCCGAAACGTACTTTCGCTATGCTTTTTCTATAAATACTTTCATGGTAACTGTTTTGATGAACTTTCATCTATGGTGGCTAGACGTATTGGATTTAAGCGCAGTACTAGATTGGCGGTAATGTCTCATCATTTTGCAATTGAAATGATTAGCTGCAACCGTAACTTCTATGCTAAAAGTTTCTTCTCTCGCACTTCTCGCTTGTGGAACTCTCTTCCGGCTTCCTGCTTCACAGTTATATTTGATTTTCAAAAATGTAAATGCAATTTCAATCCTTATATTCTGTCTTCTTAATTCCTGTTTTTTTTGTTTGTTTTGTTTTCTCTCTTTAACAATAAATTTTCTGATATTCCCCTCACGCTCAGTAACCCGTTGCGTCATAGTGGCTTTACTGCCTTGCTTGGAGTGAAATTTTTTAAAAGAAAAAAAGGCCACATTTCCCCACGTGTTGACATTTATTCCTGAAAATGTTGAATTCAATTTCTTCGTGCGTTTTCACTTTCAACCGCGGTGTACGGCCATATCACGTCGAAATACAGCTTCTACTAAGATCACCGAAGTTAAGCAATGTTGTGCCTGGTCAGTACATAGATAGGTGACTGGTTAGGAATATCAGATGTTGCAAGCTTTGATGCGCATGTGATAACGGAGAACAGCTCGGAATTGAAAAGTTCCAATTCCGATTGGGTTCGTTATATTCACTTACGTGAAAATACCATTTAAAAGGTATGAACCTACCTATTCTACACCCCAGTTGTGGGTTAAATAGTAGGACTTGTATTAGTAAATCATTAGTATCTCCAAAAGATTCTCACAACCTAAAAATAATTTCTGGCTTTCAATAACCTACAAAAGGTTGATAAACCGTAAAAACAAATCAGTCATTCAATCAATCAATTTTGACCGAATTCTCATACAAACATGTAAACACACACATCTATTTTTTTAACTCCATATTAACTCCGAATCTATAGTACGCCCCCCCCCGTCATTTACTACATCTACAAAAATCGATCATAATCAATATAGGTGAACAATTCAACTAGAAAATTGAAAATAAATACAATGTATCTAAGAGTAAATTAGAGACATGTCATAAATCAACAATGTTTTATGGCAATTTTTACATCAACTTGAGATTTCTCTTGTTAAATGTTGAATATTTTAACATATTCAACATTAGGAATAAAAAAAATAGTGATTCTTATATACAGTGTTGGAAATAAGTATAAGACATCCCATGAAATTGTTAATAATTTTCTTATTACTGCACAAATTACTCTGAAAATTTGTGTGTGGTACCTAGATCCGATCGGTATTAATATATATATTCGATTTTATAACAACTTTCTAACAAAAAAAAAATTATTAACAAAACTTTGTTTTCGAGGGTGGAAATAATTATAAAACAGTTTTGAAAATTTGCATATCTGGTTTACTTCAGAATGCCAAAGGAAGAATAAGCGCATGCGCAGATTAGAAAAAGACTTATCATGATTTTAAGCCACATGAGTCCTATTTAAACATTTTATAATTGAATACAGTTACTGCAAAATGCCTAAGCACCCCAACCCACCTTAATGAAAATGAAAAAGAACAAATTTCTGCCTATAAACTGGAAAGAAAATCTATGTTTCATTGCAAGAGAACTGTCAAGGTCCTGTACATTTGTGAGAAATTATCTAAAGTCCTCAGAACTGAATGGCACCAGAAAACGTCCAGGTCGTCCACCTAAAATTAAAAACGCAGCCAGATGTCGACTTTTTCGAGAAGCTTCTAAAGGACGATCAAGCTCAAGAGATCTGAAAATATCTAAGAATTTACCCATCACTCCAAGAAGAGTTCGTCAACTTCTCCGTGAATCGCCAAATCTCGTGTATGAAAACAGAAAGACAACCCCTGTTTTAACTGCTAAATACAAGAAGATTCACGTAGATTGGGTAAAGAAAAAAAAGTAACATGGACAAAGGGGAGGTTCGGGAGTAGTACCCACTGGCTCTGGAGAGAGAGAGTGTATTATATTAACAGACTGAGATAGATAGATAGATAGATAGATAGATAGATAGATAGATAGATAGATAGAGAGAGAGAGACAGACAGACAGACAGACAGACAGACAGAGGGAGAGAGATTGAGAGAGGGATATTAACAGACTGTGATATGTAGACAGACAGAAAGTGTATTCATGGTCGCGAAGTTTGGGGGTTGTACGCGGGGGCCGTATCCGTTTCCTATTATTATAACATCAAATTTTATATTACAAATAAAAACCTGTAGAAGATTAATGCCATAAACATACGCATGCGCACACACTCAAACGTTAATGGCGGTGACGTTTTTATAAAGTAAAAAAAATTTGATTTGACGAATTTTACTGTACGTTGTGTCCGAAAACAAACGAAAGAAATCCTGCGAACTTTGTTTTTATCGCGTCTCCCACCCACCTATTGCTTTGTCGTCTGTCATTTGTCCTACTGATTTATCTAGTCAAGAATAATAACGGTTATCTGCGACAATTTACTCGAAATGTTCGAAAGGTTGATATTGGGAGATGAAGATAAGATACGCGTGTTCATTTGGTAAGATTGTTTATTCGGAAGAGGAGGAGGTGAACGTTGAGAAGGAGAGTAGCAGGAGGTGGACATTGAGAAGAGGAGGAGGAGGAGGTGAACGTTGAGAAGGAGAGTAGGAGGAAGTGGCTGTTGAGAAGAGGAGGAGGAGGAGGAGGTGGACGTTGAGAAAAAGAGAAGGAGGTTTGGAGGAGGAGGAGGTGGACGTTGAGAAGGAGAGTAGGAGGAAGTGGCTGTTGAGAAAAGGAGGAGGAGGAGGTGGACGTTGAGACTGGGTAAAAAGAAATCAATAAACAGTAAAACGCAGGCGATAAACGTGGAACATTTGAAGAAATAAAAAAAATCATTTTTATGATTTTATCAAATGCTGATTAGACACAATAGGTATTTTAACGAGTTGGGTGAACTTTATTGTAAAAAAAAAAAAAAACACAAAAATAATAGCTCAAGTTCAGCTAAATATTTTTGTTCTATGCATCATATTTTAATTTTTATTCACTGTCAAACATTGATGTTCGAATCCAATGAAAGTCTTAGTCAAAATCTTGCATTTCATGAGAGTTTTTACAGATCGATAATGTTTAGGGCGTTAAGTGATCTGTCTATCCATCTATCTATCGTTATATTCCGTTGCAATTAGGTCACTTTCTGAGTCTGCATGCTGGCCGGATGTGAACGCCACGAAGGCAGAGAAAAAAAAATAAAAACGGCTTTCTTTGCGATTAGGCTCCGAGCATCACGACTGGTTACCGAAGCAAGTCCTCACAAAGAAAGAAGCAAGGGTCAATCCTGAAAGTTCCCGTCGGAAAAGGAGATGCCCCTGAAGACTGCTAGATCTGCATAAAAGCATATCTACATAAAAGCATATCTCCTATATCTATCTATCTATCTATCTATCTATCTATCTATCTATTTCAGTCTCTTAATCTCTCTCTCACACACATTCTCTCTCTCTCTGTCTCTATCTGTCTGTCTCTCTATCTATGTATTTATGTTAATATCATGCACAAATACAATCTCTGTCTATCTATCCATCAACCGATTTCAGACTGTTAATATCTCTTTCCTCTTTCTCTGTTTCTATCTATCTATCTATATTATATATATATATATATATATATATATATATATATATATATATATATATATATATATATATATATATATGTGTGTGTGTGTGTGTGTGTGTGTGTCTGTCTGCCTGTCTGTCTCTGTCTATCTTTCTCTATCTCATTCTGTAGGAAACGGAGAGGGTTGGCGCGTACAACCCCCGACCCCATTGACCTCACATGCAATCTATCTATCTATCTATCTATGTCTTTTAGTATATATATATATATATATATATATATATATATATATATATATATATATATATATATATATATTTAAATTGATTTAAAATATGTTTTTTTTTTTTCTGTGTAGCGAAAAAAAAACATATTTTAAATCAATTAATTTATAATATTAATGCTCTGTAAATTTACATCGAGCACAATTTTGTAAAAATAAAAATATCTATAAGAACACCGGATTATATATCTTACTGTTCTTTCTTTTATATATATATATATATATATATATATATATATATATATATATATATATATATATATATATTTCTCTGTCTGTTTCTCTCCCCGAGGGCCGGTGGGTACTACTCCCCAACCTCCCGATCGAGGGCGGTCGGAAAGCCTGAATGGGAGGGCCTGGTAGTGCTTTGTGACCCTCGCTACCTTATCAACATATGCATTTTTCTACCTACATTCATACGTTACAAATTAAACTAATCATATCTGACAATTAGAACGATGAACAATTGTCACGAGAAGGTCACTCCTTTAAAGGCAAGGAAGGGCAAAAATATTTTAAGTCAAGTGATAGCGATTGCTGTATGATTTTTCTAAAATCAAGCACGGGCAACGCCGGGCCATGCTGCATAGATGTAGATAGTAGATGATAAACTTAACTGAATGGAATTCATATTCTTCTTGTATTAACTGCATTGTCCTCTCATTATTCAGGTTAGCTTGTGCCCAGCATGCATGATCTTGAGTGGGCAGTAACACGTCTCCCTCATTCCGAATCTTCTCGGCGTTTGTAATTGGCGCTTGAAATCGTATCTCGCGCCAAATTTTAGGCTATGCCCATTACTAGTTTATAATAGATTCTTCTTATTATCAGCAGGAGCCATCTACCAAAGTGAGATGTCCTATATTTTTATCCTCTCCCAACACGCGGGAAAGCATGCAGTTCAGTGTTCCATTGCATGTTGGGAGTAATACAGTTCATATGATCCTAATACAGTTCTTCTTTATTAGACAATAATCATTTCAATAAACATTTCCTTTATTAATATACTGTTTGTTACATAAACGGATCAATTCTTTATTAGTGCAAAAACATTTTCATCAATGCAACAGATCAAGCAAATAAAAAGAAATCGATAGCCACAACCTGCTAGAGTAAACATGACAGCTGGTGTTTACTTGACAATTATCTTTTTTTTAGACCTATTCAATAAGAACTTCACTGTGTGTGAAATATGACAATCTTTGATATATTATTATTATTAATATCTTCGGCATTATTATGGCTGATTATTAGTGAATGCATGTATGAGTGTTCTTCCCCCCTTTTTTAACACTTGTAAATTTATTAATTCAATTCGAATTATGCTCGTTTACTGGCTTATGTATAGCTTCTCTGTTTATGTGTTATCATGTACAGTATTAGATTCATTGTTTAATAACATTTTGTTTTCTACCCTCGTTAAAGTGTTTCACGTATTAGTCAGACCAATTAAGAAATGACATTACTCCTTCTTTTGTCATTTGTATTTATTTTCATGACGCTACATTATATTATTATTATGTTGCATAGTTTAATTGTGTTGTCCCCATTTATGTTTTATGAGTCTGAGAGGGTTGTCTTTTATAAGACATTAAACTGTTTATATGCAATCCATTGGAGAATTCAACAGACAGGATACTTTGCGGTTACTTAAAATGAACAATAAAATATTTCCATAGTAGCATGTCATTATGAGGCGGATCA